CTTGCACAATCAACTAACACCTAGTTATTGATGCTTCTAGTCTTCGTTCGTTGCTTTCTTTTTTTTTTTTTTTTTTGTTTCATATTCAACATTATGATGACCTATAAAAGTTGAATATGATGACAGTCAGCCAGCCAAATGGATCTATTGATGGATACACATTACAAATGACGGGTAGGTGTGTGGATGTATATAATGACTACTAGTACTACTTCGTATGTTATTGTTCGTTCGTCTTTAACAAGAACAATCGTCTATACGTTTGATAGAATGACTACATCTAGAGTTATTTTTCTCTCTTTTGAATGGCATAATGATACTCGTGATTTTTCATTATTTGATATTAGCCGACTAGTTGTTAGATACGTCAATATTTTGTTGTCTTTTATTCTCTGATGAAGTCATCGTCTTGTGACTTGTCTTAACATGCAAAAAAAAAAAGAAGGAGTAGTGATCTATTACATAATTGAATCTGATTCTTATATATATGAGAAGCACGACATACATGAAAGAAGTAGGTGCGTGTGTATATATATATGCTCATCCTTATATATATGTATGTATGTATATGAGAGAGAGACAGCGCGCGCGCGGTCTTTTGCCCACTAAAATTATGATGATGATCAATATACAAAAGATAAGAATACAATAGATGTTTACATCATCTATCGAATGAACGTGCACACCTTTTTTTTTTTTCGTTTCTTTTCTTTTCTTAAAGATTATTTGCAATTGATTTTTCTTTCCCAGAAGACGATGACATTCTTTTGATGTATATAAATTCGGCGCCTGAAGAGTATTTTTGAATGTAGGCGCGCGCGTATAAGTGCGATCACAAAAGATTGATATTGAGATTGTCATAGTTCATTGAATGTGAACACGATGTATGATGATTTCATAACTTACAGCAAACAGTTTGTGATCACTTGGGATCTTATAAAAGCCTGTAGGCTTATTGTTTTATTCAATAGCAAAACGAAAAAGAAAATAACTACTTGATTCCGTTTAAATGAATCAAATAGAATATAAACTATTCACATTTTTACAATCATTATCCAATTAGATGTTAAAGACAATACATTCCAAAATAAGCTGTCTTTTTGTTTTCAAAACAAATAACAAATGACATACTTAACTCATCATCATCATCATCATCATCGTTGACGTTTTTCGTGTGAATTGACCATACACTATTATCATGCTTGCGTGCATTCAAAATCCGTAAACGATCGTATGTCTATTGTACATACACGCATACATTCCAATCTCTACATTATTATGATAGACAGAACATATAGATAAAATGATCATGAGTCACGGAAAATTTTATTGAAATATTCATTTGACATGGCTGCTATAGTATTGTTGTCGAATTTAATTTAGATATTTTTATCTTTCTCAATATCAATTGAGTTCACATACTAAGATCAAAATGCCGCTTTTCATAGACAATATATTTATAAAAATGAACAATAGTGTCGCATGTCTAATTAAAGTAGTACCTGGGTAGTAGCAGCATAAGCAACTTTTCAATTATCACCTTTCGTCTAAGAAAAGAACAACAGCAGTATTTGTCTGATGTGTACAGTTGAGCTTGTCGTCTTTGAAAATCGATGCGCATACGTTTCAAGTCACTACCCACACACACAATCTCGGGTGTGCTTTGATTGTTTTTATTCTTATTCTTTTTTTTCACAATAGGTGTGTACGTGTGGTATATGTTTGATCTTTGCTCGGACCAGTGATTGTAGCTGTCAAATGAAAAAAAAAAGAAAGAAAGAACTCACTGGTGACAACAACTCTAAAGGGAATCAAATTCCCAATTTGTCAATAAAAAGAAGTGCCATAAGATCAATTGTTAATATACATATATATATATATTCTGAAGATGTGTTCATTTTTCTCACCAATTTTTTTTGAAGGGGGGGAGAGGGTTAGTTTCAGTCATTTCGGAAATACTATTGTATTGCTCATGAGTCAATTATTGCTTGAGGGAGGTGGTAACACTTAACAATTATGCATTGTCATTGTCGTGTGTATTTGAATGTTCATAAGTTCAAAGCTATCGGTCGGCTATTTATTTCAATTTTAAAATAATTCTGCCCGCCATCTCTACCTCTTCATTGTGTTCTCATCCATAGACGAAGGAAGTCGAAATTTAATTCTATAAAGTGAACATACATCTATAGATGTAAGAACTATGTTAGTAAAATGTTCTCTCTTATCAATATATATATATATATATAGCAGCAGTGAATGCACTTGAATGAACATCGTTATTTCATTGTTTGTAGTTTTGCTTTTTTCTTTTTTTTTCCGACATATGAACTTCAATGATTTACTAATGTTCAAGTGTCCGCATACTCAGTAGGCGGAGCGCGTGAATATAGACACATACAACATTTATCGCAGCAGTCTTAGTGTGTAATATGAAATTCACCTGCCTGCTGTTACTGATTCATGAATTTTTATTTTGTTGTTTTTCGTTTTGATCTTTCCGATTTGTCTTTATATATAGATTTTTTTTTTATTTACATTTCTCAACATGAACAACGATATGCATCATCATTTTTTTTTTTTAAAAATATTTCTACATGTGAAACTCGTGCATACACGTGCAACATTGGGATATATATATACATGATTGACGACGTGTGTACATAGGCGTCTCCTTCTTTGATCTCAATCGTGGGAATCACATCTTCCGTTCTCATAGTCACATCTCTTACGTGTATATACATAGTGACAAAAGCCGGTTAAGTTTGACCATGTCTTCTTTTGTCACACCTTATTTTCATTTATGTGGACAATATAGATTAAAAGAACAGAAAGAGATTGGTTATTCAATCTTCTATTGACCAATACAAAACATAGGGGAGACCACACACGCACAGAAAAAGAGAGAGAGAAAAATATTAGAAAAAAAAGTTCAACTTTTTTTTTTTATTCTTTCTATATAGTCAGTTCAATATTGAAAACGACGTTGAGAGTCAGACGGAAGCAATATGTATAATACTAGTGGAAGTGATATTGATATAGAAGAATTTGAATATCATTCAGGTTCACGTAAAGTAAGAAAATCAATAAAATTATTATTTTTTTTTGTTAAATTTTATTTTTATTAATCTAGATTGCAAAAACATATGTTGAAAAAAAACGACGTGATCGTATTAATCGAAGTTTAGATGAATTAAAAGATTTATTAGCTATTCATTGTGATGTAAGTAAATAAAAAGAGAAAAAAAGAAATATCAACATCAAATACAAAAATTATTTATATATTTTAGAAAGCACGTTATCAAAAATTAGAAAAAGCTGAAATACTTGAAATGTGTGTTGATTTTGTCAAACAAACAAATGTACATTTAAATTCAATAAAACATAATTATGAATTAGGTTATCAACAATGTACAAATGATATGACAACATTTCTTAATACAATACCAGAAATATCATTTATTCAACGACAAAATCTTTTAAAACATTTATCAACATCAAATAATCGTCGTTTTCATCCTTATAGACAAACAACAAGTCATCATTCAATTGTTAATGAATGGTTTAATCGTTGTGGTGGTGAAAAACAAAAATCACTACCTGATTCATCATCATCATCATCATCATCTGAACGTTCAAATACATCAAGTCCATCATCATTTGATGATAATAGTGAACGTTCATCATCTCTTTGGAGACCATGGTGAATTTTTGCTTGTTTGTAGTATATCTTTTTCTTTTCTTTTTTTTTTTTTTTTTTGAAAAAATATAAATCTTTCAAAAACAAAGTTACATATATTTACTTGAGGAAAAAAAACACAATAACATATTTCCGTTCATTATATCAATATTCTTTACATTTACTTTTATCTTAATGGCAGGTGTTCTACACGTGTATGTTTTTATACTCAATAGGCGCCATATAAACCCATTATCAGAGGATGTTCATGACATAATCATTACTTTTTCAAGTTGATTTTTTTTCTCTCTCAAACGGTCTATAGCATCTGCTTTTTTTTCGAAGGAATGTAAAGAATCTATTTTGTTATTTTTTCTAATTATACATATGTATATATATATATATAAGTATGTATGTTCCGTTGATTCAATGATAATTAGTTGATGAATAATATTGTATTGAGACACGTGAAGCCTCAATATCATTGTTTGTATATGTTGTCTCATTAACACTCGAAGAAAATTCATATTAAATATACAAAATTATCTCATGTAAACGATATGATCTCTTAGCTAAATCATATATACGAATAGAAATAGAGATCGATTGCGTCAGTAAACATAGAATCTAATCATCTTGATCAACAAAAACAAAATAAAAAATAGAATAGAACTTTCTATTTTGTAACTAAAATAATGTTGATTTTTGTCAACATTAATACCTTCCGTTCATTAAGGTCATAAAAGATAAACAATACATATATAACATAAAATGTCTCAAATCAGATGTGTTCTGAGGTCACCAATGTAGAAGGGATAGTGTGACTACTGAGAAGGTACGGTTCACGGCTTGACGGAGGAGGTCAATCCTTGTCGCACGAATTGGTAAGCGAAAAAAAAATTAAAGAAAATTATTCAGTTGTGCTGGGAAAACACGAAAATTTTCCAAGACTGGGAATAGAGGTCAACTCCTGAATAGGGCTTGCCCGGTTCAGATTTTTCGGACTCTGATCTGGTCGAACCGTACTTTAATATTTTCAATTAAATTTTCTAATCGAAAAAGGATAGCCGCCCTGACGATACGAAACACTTTTTTTTCTGTATTCGGTGATCAGTGCACCCGATACATTTCTCAGACGACTCGTCTGAGAAATGTGTAGGGTAGAGTCCGTCGAACCTGAACCCGACTAGGCTCAGATACGGATCTGGATCCGAGATCAACCCAATGGATTCTACTCTTGACCTTTCTACTTGCTCGGGACATCCCTGTTTCAAGTTATGTTTTCATATCATTTTTTTGTAAAACAAAAAAAAAAATCTATAGTTTATTTTTTATTAAAAATAAGAATATGTTGCCAAGGAAGTGATTCAAAAGTTTGTGATAAAAAAAATCCATTTAATTCAAGTTCAAATCTGGCTTGACCAGTAGACATTCGATGATCATCATACATATTCGGTGTCAAACTATCTTCTAAACGATATTCAACTAGAACAAGTCGACCGTATGGTTTTAATGCTCGATGTAATCCACTTAATACAGCTGGTGGATTTATACATTCATGATACGTATCAAGCATAAGAATGAGATCACAAGAATTAGGTGGAAGGTTTACATTACAATGTGAAGCTAATATAGGTATTATATTATTTGAAAGGCCTAATGTATATGCATTGGTCATTAATTGATTGAGCATTTCAGATTGAATATCTGTTGCAAAAACACGTCCATATGGTCCAATTAGACGAGCAAGACGTAATGAATTGTAACCGACACCAGCACCAATATCGGCTACAATCATACCTGGTTTAATATTAAGTAAAGCAAGCATAATATCAGGATATTCTTGTGATTCACGACCGAGACGCATTAAATGATGAACATTACAATGTGGCATAACTTCACCAATTAAGCGACCCATGTAATAATGACGACCATATTGTTGATACGGATATGCAGGCCAATACATTTTTCTTTCTTTTGAACTTTAAAAGTTATAATATAAATCTAATATACAACATACAAAAAAAAAAGAACCGGTGAAAAAGAAAGATAGACACACACCCACATATATAAATGCCTTTCTAATATAACCTCGACTTGTGTTGAAAAGATTTTCATACATCCTTTAAGGACATTTTTGAACGCTTGAAGCAGATCTTTTTTTTAAATCAGATATATGTCATAAACCCTGAAACAGAATATGTTTTATGCATTTTTCTCTTGGCAATATCTAAATTACTATCATATATAAATATAAATATAAATTTCTTCGATGATTTGTATTTTTTATTAAATATTTGATCAATTTTTTCGTTCAATATATATTTTATTGAAAGATTGGTCTATATGATAATATTTATATTTATGTCTATAAATTAGTTCATTTGGAATATGATCAATTAATACACGTGTACATTGTTTGCAATATAAGAACTTCAATTTTCAAAATAATTTATTTGACAGGAATTTAAAGCAAAAAAAAAAGAAAAAGGATATTTTTTTAAGATACTGAATATCATAATGAATTTTGTTTGATAAGTTTTAGACAAAAATTCAAAAGAATATTTCAATTAGAATTATATAATACTGACCATTGCTATTGATTAGACTTTTTTTAAAATTTTAGGTCCTCTTCTAAAATCAATCTTGGGACAGGTACATTCAAATTGCATGAAATTCTCAGGCTATGTTGGAACTATATGGGAAGGCCTCTAGTAAAATTTTCAACTCTGTACTATCATGTTCGAGAGATATATTCAACAGAGAAGAGTCAAAAATAGCTCATTTTGTCAACTCAAAATTCTCTGTAGGCCTTGATTTTGTACAGTTAATCTTTTTTGTTTAAATGAATATGTCAAGATGCAGAACATAACAGAGCTCTTTTTTTTTAATTCTTACTTTTTAAACGATAAAAAGTTCAATATCTCAAAATATGGCGCTCTAATTATAAGAGGAGAATCAAAGCCCATAGAGAATTCCGAGCTATGCGATCAAAAAAGAACATAAATAGAGACCAAGCATATTTGTCAATCAGGAAATTATGGAGATCATATCCAAGTCAAGGAAAAAACGAGGTGTCAAATTAAAAAGTCATGTCGTTTATGAAAGTTCAGATCTCGGGTTATCTGCTCATGTATTTATCTCAATTTTCATTGTCAAAAGACATAGATCAATTTACCATTGTCATACTACTTATACTATCGAGTATACCAAGATTTTTGCACCATTCTTTCTTTGGCAAATATTCAAGCTGAGAAATAACATATCAGCTAAAGTTTTCTATACGAAGACACAGCATTTGATTTTCTACAAATTTCTATGGTAATTTATTTATAACAATAAAATATAGCCTTTGGATAAACTGCATTCTGTGACTTAGTAAATGGAACTTACTTCTCATCTGTTGTTTAGTATTGTATTCTTTCTGTGAAAACAAATATTAGTTTTGAAAAAAAAACCACTCGTGTGTTAAACAGTATTTGAAAGGTACTGTCGATTATGTATATTTATGAAGTATTTTAAATGCACATTCTCGAGATTGAATAGTATGTTATATTTTGAGAATAGCGAAATTTCCTTCAGTGATTACTCATTTTTTAACAGACATTCTAGAGATGTTATTTATTTTTAGATTGAATTCTTTTTCTTTTTGCGGAGTTGTATGAAAAATTATTTTGTCTGTTTATTTGTCAGTCAGACATCACTTGGTAAAACGATTAATCCAAAAGAAGGATTTGAATACTGTACAAACATCTTTTTTTTTTGGTGTAGGACTTCAGATAAGTCATTGCCGTCACAATAAAAATAAGCTATGATCAAATATGTACGAACACTATTGAAAGAACATTTTGTGAAGATTCGAATCATAAGTACAAAGATTCTTGCGTTACTGTTTATAATTCAAAAAGAACGTCGGTAGAATAAAAAAATATATTGGGGATGTAAACTTCATTCACTGAGTCACAGAGGGCATGTTTATCGAAAGTTTATATTCTGTTATTTTCAATAAAGGTCAATACTAGTTTGTAGAGAATCAAATGCAGCATCTTCTGATAGGATACTTTGGATGATGAATTATTTCTCCTGAGAGAACCTCTCCAAGTGTCAAATCTCTTTTCGACCAAGACAATGTTCATATGATGAGTGCTAATGAGTAATAGAAAAGTCTAGAATGGTATTTGTTTTCATATATGAGAGAGTTTCGAATATTCAATATATCAGAAAAGAAGATACTAGAAAAGCTACAACTTGCCCAATTGATTAATCTTATTAAGAACTTTATTCATGTGAAATTTGAAATCGAAATTCGAGAGTCAATTTTTCACTTGATCACATCTTTTTGTTGAAAAACTCTGTAAAATGTCGATATCTCAAGAACGAAGGCCCGGAAAACAAAACTATTCTAGACCTTTCTATTATTCATCAAATGAATATCGTCTAAGTCGAAAACCGATTTGACATTTGGAGAGGTTTCCTTATCAACTTGGATATTTGCTAAAGAAAGAATGTTGCAAAACTTTTGTTACACTTAATACTTTGTTTGAAATTAATACAAGATTGATATTCTTATATGATTCAGTTGAATTTTGTTTCAGAAAAAGACTTTATTATAAATTCTCTTATTCCAATCGTAAGACATATCAGTCTATTAAGTCATTGGATCATACATATTTAAATGGTCTTATTTTTAGAAAGAAAAAAATATCGATTATTTGATATTTCGATTCAAAATATCATTAATCTTAATCAAAATAGATCACTTATCAGGTAGGATTTATATCATGTTAATGTTTCTCTTGACAAATAACAAAAATGAATCTTTTTTCTATATGTTAGATTAAATCTATTAATTTAAAATAATGTTCGATTACAAATATCTCATTTTTCTATGTATTATTTTCCATAATTTTCATATAATTTTTTCTTGTGGATGTTATGGATCAAAAAGTTGTACTTCAAATGGAATTCTATGTAATCCTTTTCAAACAAATGATTCATGTTTATGTGATTGTTGTCCACCATGTAATACATGTGAACAATTTCTTAAATTAAATTGTCTAACTAATCGATATACAAAACATTATAGTTTATCAAACAATCAATCTAATATTATACTTAAAATAAATAAATCAATGAAACCAAAATATATTATTGATCAAACAAATAATAATATAGTTCATTATCTTTGGGATCCATGTTTACATCGATTACTTCCTAAAGGAATTTATTTAACAAATAATACTAATGGAATATATAAATTAATTGGTAGACCAAGAGAAAAATTAGAAAAAACTTCTTTTGAAATTTTATTTAAAAGTTTAGTTAATCAAATTCTATTAGTTAATTTTACAATAACTATTATTTAAATTAAAAATTTTACAAATAAATTAAATTTTATTTCTTGTTTTTTCGTTTAAATACATAACGTGTAGCTAATGTTGATACGGATTGTTTTCTTGCTTGATTTCGTTCGAAACGCAGAAGTTCATCAAGTGCTGCTTGAAAATGTACAAATTCAACAAATGATAATTTAAGACCATGTTTACGACAATCATTTCGTAATTGATTCATAATTGTATGTGGTGCATTCATTCGTGATATATGTGCAAGTGCAATTAAACTACGACCATCATAAAGTGTTAAAATTTTCGTAAAAGCATTTAAATTATTTTTAGCACACCATTCAAGTACTTCTTGATGTGTCCAATTTTGAATTTTTTTTGTTTGAACATGTGAAGATATTGTAGGTAGTTGTAATTTTGATGATGAAGAAGATGATGTAAGATTAGTATGAGAAGTTCGATGAAGAGGTGTAACTATTTGAGTATGTTTGACAATAGCTGGTAAATTATGGCTATTATTATTATTATTATTATTATTAAGATCGATTTGAATTTCAGATATCATTTTTTCTATATTAGATTCAGTTATTTTAAAAAGTTTTTTCTCGTCAATATTAAGTATATTAAACCAATCATCGAAACGATATGATTTTTGTACAATACATAGAATAATTTTTTTACAATCAAGTAAAGCTTGTCGAATAGCTGCTTGACATGTACAATCATGTTTTGATTCTTCACTTATACATAAAAGAATATTGAATGAATTACGTATTGTACCAATACGAAAACCAAATTTTTCAAAACTTTCTTGAATGGATTGAACAATGAGACGATCTTTTACAGATGAAATAAGAGCAATATCAAATGATATTCCATCTTTTATTGGTAAACGAGGTAAATTTCTCATTTGAATATTTTCTAATATACCATTTGCAGCTGGTATATTTGATAATGATGATAATTTTTCAAGAAAATCATTATGTCGTTTAATTAATTGTTCTAAAATATCCGAATGAAATGAAAGTTTCCAAATAATATCATAAATAATTGGATAATTTTCACTTAATTCAATAAGATTTTGTAATTGATAAGTATCTGCAATAATGTATTGTATTTGTTCATGAATTGTTAATGATAACAAACTCTGAAGTATATTTTTTATTTCTTGTTTATAACAATATAATAAATTCATAAATTTCATTGTTAATTTATAACTAATTCGAAGTTGAATTAATTGTTTTTCACTAATAATATGTCCAAGTAAAAGACAAGCATTAATATTTAATTGATAATTTTGTTGATTTATTATATATTGAAGAAGTATATCAATTAATTGATCACTATTTAAATAACAAGCAACAGTTTTTGATTGTATACAAAGTAAATTAAATATATTTAAAATAGGTAAAAGTAAAATTTTTGTATTTTCTTTTGCAAATTTTGATGATGAATTTATAAATATTGATAATAATATTGATATACATGAATAATCATTTATTAAATATGAAATATCTATTTGAGAAAGTATACCTAATGTACAATAATGTAAATCATTATTGTCAGATAAAATTTTTTCATTATAAAATTTTGTAAAAAATTTTGAATATAATTCATTAAATGT